TGATTGAAATGGCTGTGGAATGGCAAAGTTTTAAAGGAATATTTAACCTTATTTTGACAAGCATCAGGTTTGCTTTTATGACTACCGGTATAACGTAAATTTTACTTCTACTGTAATTTGAAGTCAACTTTCACCTGTTTCTGTATTTTTTCTAATTAAAAATGTGCTTGTCCCACGGACAAGTTATGTCAAAGGTCTACTTACAAGTCCGAACTGTATTTCTACCTGTCCTGGACAATCGGACATAGGTTTTGGCGCACCCTGATCTTAGCCCATTCATGCCATATCTTATGTCAGTCAATTCTTTAACCACCCCAAGTAAATAAATTTTCAGACAAATTAAATAATCATTAATTTTTCTATAACTATAAGCAAAGTAAATGTAATTTATAATATATTATCATCAAAAACATAAGTCATAGACTGTTTGCTACTTTATTAAAGGTGTTGTACAAAAATAGAGTATACTCATACATATACTTTTTGTAGCAAAGGCATGGCCATTGAATAATATTACCCGTATGTGGTATATGTTTCAGGTCAAAATTTCAATTCAGGTTAAAATCTTTTAGCCTTGGTTGATTCTCTATCTCCCTTGTTGCCTAGTCCTAATTTATTCATGAATTAGCGCTATGAGACAAAGGAAATCAAGAATCAACCAGGATATGATTTTAACCCGTAACAAACATTGTATTTATGCTGTTTTTGCATGTGGTCTTATCAAGTACACAGCAACTTTATAGATCTGGTGCTTTCAAGTTGGATACAGGAGACGAAACTGGTAATTTTTATCTGCATTTTTTTGTAGGATGCCAAGGAATCCAAAGTTATTGACTGCAAAACCTATAGTTTTGCCGGAAGGACTGGCATAGCTATCCTGACTAGTAATTACCACTTTTATGTCGCAAACAACGTGGAAGAGGTCAGGAGTCGACGGTATTATGACCCACCAGGTAAAAAAATCATAAAGTTCAGTGTTTCAGAGAGATTAATAATGTTTTATTTTGAAGTTACATGTTCATCTCATGTGCTTTTGTGATCTATAGAACTCAATATCTGCTTGTGTCTCACTTTCTTTTGGTGATAACTTTGAATTTGGTGAGAGTTAAAGTGTTGTTCAACAGGCGATACAGAAATCTTGTCACGCATTATTCCTTGTAGCATTTGACTGACTTCAAGTGGGCTTGAATTCTAACTTTTGTTTTTGCGGCGTGAATATTTTTCAGGCTTTCTTCTCTTAAATATTTACGATGATCTGTCTTAGTTAAATGTGTATTTTGCCACATTTTTCACAAGGAAAACAATAACTGCTCTTGATCCCAACTCGTTAAAATTCTATCACCTAACTGCCTGAGGGCTGCCCCTATCTGAGAAAACTAGAAAGTCTAATTGTTTGCAGAAGTCTCTACAAAGGCAGCACTTTCTGCTCAGCATTAAAAGATGCCTGCCTAAGTGTTGATCTGGCTGGTGTGTTGAACTAGCGACCTCTCGCTCAGCAGACCGGCGCATATCCAGCTGAGCTAACCGGATGGCAAAAAATGACCAGTCATGAATCTTAAGAAACATAGGGCCATTTATTTAAACGTAGTTTAGCCAGTGTTGAACAAAACCGCATTCTGAGCCATTTTTCAATTTGCCCAACGGTTTTATCTAAACTCCGTTTATTGTGAAGTGTTTTATGAAAGCATATAGAGTAGATTAGAAAAACATTTATCTTCTTAAAATATCGCACTAAGGAAGAGATTCTGGAGGTCCAAAGATTTGTTAAACCCCGGCTTAAATTAAACTTTGCTTAAATAACCGACCCATAATTTTTTCAACCAGGTTTGGATGCTCCACCCAGCAGCTGGGTCATTATGCCGCATGACCGAGGTTTATCGTTGCTAGTGGCAATTGATAATCTGTTGTACCTTACAGAAAAAGGACAGTGTAATAGACTGGTGAGCTGTAGTATACAGTAGAACTGTTACCGTCAGTAATACGACCACTTATAATCCAGTCCTTTCAAGATTATCTCTCTGCTCAAGACATGCTTTTTTGTAGAGTTCCCATCTTTTTACAACATCTGCCTTTTCGTTGGCAGTTTCAGGATTTGAAGAAACGTGTATCTAGCAGATATTCGCACACCGATTGCAACTCAGCAACGGTGGCGAAAACGTCTCTTAAAAAGAGAATTCGCGTTGCGTGAAACTTCACGGCGATGAATCCAACTCGCATAATTTGTCAAATGCAGGGGAGTCCTGGACTTGTCTAGGAGTTGAATTCTTAGGCCCTGTTTACATGGAGATGGGGGACCCCAGATAGCTGAGGTAACATGCGGTGGGTCACCCCGCCTATCACGTAAACATGTTCAAATTAAAATGAGAGATTATAATTATGGACAGGCAGGTTACCCCACCTAAGCGAAAAAGAGAAAAATTGATCATCGTGTTCATGTTTTCCATAAAACGCGAAATTATTTCGCTGTTCACATGGAACTTTGAACGGCTATGCGTCTGAATTTTCGTACGGTTAAGGTGATGTTATACGAGACGATACGCCGCAACACAGCGTTGCAATGTTGGAACAATGTTGCAACCATTCGAAACAATATCGCAACAATGTTGCAACGCCGTGTTACAGCTTGTGCTGAAAAACGTTGTTGCAAATCGTCTCATGTAACATCCCATTTAAGGCAGTTTCGAGTGAACGGTGGAAAATTCGCCCGGTTGCCTTTTTGACTTTCTCTTTGCTTTCGCTGTCTCGACATCGTAAACTTCCTCTTGAGTGCCAAGTGAAAGACAGGTTGCTACTTTTTACCAATCGTGAATCAGGCACAGGGCGTAGCGAAGCAGTGGGTGCGGGGAGAAGGAAGCAACCGAGGGGAAAAAATAGAGAAGTGTGTTGAGATGTCGCAATGAGAATATTGTACATCTCTGGCTTTATCAGTGTCACAACTTAAAATATAAAATAGGGAAGTCTTGATCGTTTATAATGTTGACAAATTTTTCCCCGAACTCGCACAAGTCAGTATGCTCGCCAGCTACTGTTGTTGTTGAATAGTTTTGATATTATTCAATTTTCAGACTGTTTCATTCAGCGCTGGGGCCCCGGTCACTTCCATCATAGAAATGGCCATATCTTACAATTATGAATACCTAGCAGTGTTTACGGACACTGGTTTGTTATGGATAGGATCAGCAGATTTACAGGTGGGTATAACACTGTCACATTTGTTCAGCCCGCAATTTCAGCTATCAGAGGACGAGTTCCAGTAGCTAGCACCGAGTTGACTCGGATTCTTAGAAAATGAGAACGAGTGGCGGTCTAATTCAACTGGCAGTACTAACTTTGATTCTATACCCAGGTTTGAAGAAGGCGTGTAAAAAGGCTTTTGTTTATACTACTTGGATTTGAGGTATCTTTTCTTGTAACAAATGAAGACCCGTATCTGCCTTAGTTCTACATGGTGGGATATCATCATTAATTTAGTTTAGCCACTTCTTCCTCGGAAACCTTGCAAAAACAATTTCATGTCATCGCAAAGTTGATTTTTATTGCGTTCATTTAACTTGCCAACATCTCCGTAAAGCGAGGAAGCTTAGCAACCCGGGCCGCTAGGCCAGTCCCTGAAGTGCTCAACTTACGTACGCCTGTATTTGGCAGTTCTTTGAATTTTGCAGTTATTGTTGTATTTCTGTCTTCTTTAGAAAGTCTACTGTGAATTCAATACTTCTTGTCCATCAAGGAGGGGGGCGTAAGGGTTTGCGGTATTGCGGTATTGGGTCATTTTTGGTGCGGTGTTGCGGTAATTTTTATTTCAAAGTACGGTATTGCGGTTTTCAGAGTCCAAGCGGTTTGCGGTAAGTTTACATTTTACGCCGCGGTAGTCGGTGAAAAAATCGTTGTGTCGCGGTGATCTGCTTCTTTTTCATGACAAGAGGATACAAATCCTAAAAGATCTCCCTGGCTAGCCTGCGTGACCTGTGTGCACAGTCGGGGATTGTATTGCGCAAACAGTGCAGACAAATCGTATGGCTTCTAATTTCAGTTAATACTTGATATGATTAACGACATTAACTTTTTCATCCAATGATACGTAAACATGTCGCATTATTTATGACTTCATGGACCTTGTGGGAATAGTCAGCTTGGTTAACCTCCTTTATACCAATCTTACCACCACTTTCGTGCCAGTCGCCAAACAACAGAGAGCGATCCAGAGGGTCAACTAAGTGATCAGTCAGTGACTCCAGCAAATAGTGAGGTCAGTGCGATCGTTATAAATTGCGTAGTGTCGAAAGATAATCTATAAAGACGGTGTGGTCTAAAAATTACTACTTGTCCTTCTCGTTGTGCATGCAGGAATATAGAATGTACTAGCATTCGTGTGTGCTTACCCTACGTAGCATAGCAGCCCGGGGTTGGTGGTGGGGGGGTACTTCCTGATAAGAGGCTAATGAGGATGTGCCGCTGGATGGGGTCGCATTTTCACGATTGGAGTTACTATAATGGGGTCGCATTTTCAGAGAGTTTTCTTAGAATGGGGTCGCGCATTTTCTGCTTTTTTGGGGGTAAGACAGTTCATATTTACAGTTCATATTTACGGTTAGCAAAGGTACCAGAATGTTTGTATTGTAGATGAAAAGTAAAGTGTTCTTCATTCAATCTAAAACAAGGTCAATTCATAAAAATAGAAAGTGACGAAGTTGGGATCGCGAAAATTAAATATTTGTTCAAATGACTAAGATGGGGTCTATAATTGGCCACAGAATAGACTGTAATGGGGTAGGGGCTCTGAGAGGCTAGCGGCACATACCAACCAAATATTAACCCAAGTACCCCCTCCCCCCCGCCCCCACCCCGGACATGGCAGTTTTACATGGTTTTGTCGGCAGCACCACTGTGAGCCAGGCTGTGAGCAGCGAAGCAGCTCCTGCCCCAATCTCCTCGCCCGCGCCCGCCTTATTTCGACTTATTATTTAGCGCGCCTAACCAAAACCGCCATGCTACGCAGGCTAGTGTGTACTTCTGTACTGTGTGCCCTTCGAATCCAAAAGGCAGCCCGGGTCGTCGTTTTGAAACCCTCAACACAGAACCGAGTTAATTGTGAATCTGAAACAACCTCATAAGAGTCAACTGTTTTCCGTCCGTTTATGATCCAGGTCAGTAATATATAAAGTGATACTAGAAAACTCCTGTTGTATCATTTACGTAAACGTATACATGTAATAAACAAAGCTAAACGAGTGCGATGATCAGGGGCACCCAACGGCAATTTTCGGGAAAATATCTGTTCGGAAGACGATTTGAGATCTAGAATTTTCGGAGCATTTGTTGTAAAATTTCTTGCTTGCCTGCCTCTCCTAGGATTTTCGAACATCGACAAAATGGTATAATTACCCATTTTTAACGGATTTTGACCCTAAAAAAGGCCACCTAGAATTTTCGGAAGCCTTTTCCTGGCTGAAATTTTCGAGAAGGTAAGTTTTTATCCCTATAATTTTCGGATCACTAGACTTTCAGCTAGGAAATCCGAACAGATGAAAAGTTTTTAGGGGATAAAAATATGCCTATATTTACCGATTGAATACTAAAATACGTTCAACAATGCTATGTTAAGTGGTTTTGAATTATATCCTCGTTGGGTGCCCCTGGATGATCTTATGTTTATCGTACGCTTGACATCGACGCACCTTGATTTGGAAACAGTGACATAAAAGTATTATTTCTATTTGAAAGGAGGATTTGTAGTATTGACAACATCAACTTTTTCCCATTTGTAACTGCGGTTTCGGTATTTGGCTAAATTTTGATGCGGTATTGCGGTATTCTCGCGCTACCACGTGCGGTATTGCGGTATTCGTACCCCCCTTACGCCCCCCTCATCAAGACCCAAGCAACTAACCTGGTAAGGAGGGAGCAATTGTTGTTTTTAGAATGAAGGCTCTCGTCTTTTATGGCGAATTCTCGCCCGGTTGGCCGGGCCATTCCTTTGAATTCAAACTAAGAGCCATCGGTGTTTTTCTTTCTTCCGCCACCCATCAAGCGACGTGTCGCCGACACGTGTTGCTGCAACTAATCGCCTGATCTGTACACAGGGAGTAATCTGTCGCCGACACGTGTTGCAGCAACTAGTCGCCTGACATGTACACAGGGAGTGATCTATCGCCGCAACGTGTTGCAGCAACTAGTCGCCTGACCTGTACACAGGGAGTACTCTGTCACCGACAAGTGTTGCTGCAACTTGTCTCCTTATGAGTTCCGATCTTTACTTATTTCAACTTACCTTACAGGTGTGCAATGGGCGCTGTCATAAGTTACTGGGACGATTATTTGGATGTTGTTGGACCGACAATGGACACTATTAGATATCCTTTGATTAACAAGATCATTCTTTATGATGATCAGACTAGCTTTCCAAATATTTGCGGGGCAGGCTATCTAACTGCTAGAACATGCTAGGATTAAAAATTGTTCTTCTTGTTGTTGTAAATGTTGGCTTGGCCAAGTTGATAATTGTGCTGTCATGCTGCAATTGTATATTGATCGTGTTACTTAAAACACCCTTGATTTGAACTGACAATTGTTACTACTGTCACAGGACGAAATAACGTGTTTCCGTATTTTGTAAACTCGACTGAAACGTGAAGTTGCTTAAATCCGTCTCGTTTCCGCCCTGCGGAAACATGGTGATCTAGTTTTCCATGGACGGGACGCGTTTCCGTTATGTTTCCGAGTCGGAAACGAACGATCATGTTTCCGCCACATTTCTTTTGTCACATTTCCGTTCGTTCTTGTTTCCATTACGTTTCCGGTCACGTTTTTTTAAAACCCATGTCCAAGATCGCATGATAAATGTTTGAGAAATTTTGCCTTTGCGTACAATCAAGGTGAATAAATGTACCTTTACTCTCCAGATCGGGCCATTAAACGGTCAGGCTCATGCATTAAATACTCGCGCGCGTTGCATTGATGCAACGACTGTACGGTAGATACGAGTAGTTTTTTTTCTTTGAGCACGCTATTGCCATATATTTAACAATTTTTGCGCGAGAGCGCATTGGATATGAGTGGAATAATTGTTTATTGAAAACGCCCACAAAATATCGTGAATTCTTCCCGACTTTATTTGTAAGAACAACCGATTTTCAATTTTTGGTATGTGGCTCACATACCATGTTGGCTAAGCCAATCAGAGCTCTTTAACTGTATTATTCAGTGGTTCAGTTTTAATAAATATGCATATGCTACGGATAGCACACTTTCTTAACACATTTCACATATCAGATGGACAGTGCTGTTCATTTAGTTCAAGAGTTAGATAGCGTAAGAATCATTGGTAATGAGACTCATGAACTGCTTCAGCGAGTTCCAGGTTGGTAAATATGATTACGTTGATTGCGGGCGGTTTCTCCTCCTGGCGAAACCTCCCTAGCGACAAGGATCAAGGTGAAACGGCTGTATTCGCAGACTACAAGTGAAAGGTTTCAAAATACTCGCAGATATTCTGTCTTGTTCTCGATTCATAAAGCTATCGAAGTAGCCAAAAATAACAATCCTTGTTGGTGGCCGGGATGTCCTTGAGACATATTTCTTCTCCACAGACATTTGATGCTTTTCCAAATTACCTTCTGTTAAAACGTGTCGTTACCTGTAGGTACTTGAACCTTAAGCTCAGTGTGGTCTTCCTGTGCTCATGTACGATTTTTCAACTTACTACCCGGAAGCAGATGGAACTGACTCTACATTCAGTATTCCCCCCTCCAAAGAAAATGGGTGCCCTGTTGTCACGAACAAGCAAAAAGCCCTAAACTTTATTCCAGTCGACTTGTTCAATCGGTTTACGGTCAAGTCGCCCAAAATCAGAGTCATGTCGCCCGATATCTTGAGTCATGTTGCTCGAAATAAATAGCGATATTTGCGTCTTTGTTTAACTGCACATTTGCATAGGTTACTGGACACAGTTGAGTCAACATTTTTCGACTAAATTCCTTGCGATAGACTTCAGATGTTACTTTTCTTCAAGTTTATACACTCGATAAAACTTTAGGCGACATGACTTAGGATTTCGGTTGACATGACTCTGGTTTCGGGTGATATGACTTACGGGCGACTTGACCGGTTACCGTTCAACCAGAACCACCTCTTATCACGAATGTGAATAATTATGTCCGATACTAGAGCAACTATTTCTATTAATCTTTTAGCTGCTGTGGAACAAGTGTTTAAAATCGGTTCAATGGAACCAGGTGCGATGCTGTTTGATGCATCAAAGGAATTTGAGGTAAGCAATGCTTCACTCTCTCTGGGAAAAAGTTGTCTCGGGTAAAAGGCTCAGCCGCCTACCCGAGCGAGTGGCGGATCTAGAGAAGGGGCCAAGGGGGCTCGCCCCCTCCTCCTTTATTGTTAGACCGCCACTGCGAGCCACCCTGGGCGAGCCTGTTGTTGGGTGACCTGTTTTCCTTGGTAAGATCACCATTCTAGCTGAGCCAACTTTTCTCCATATAATAAAAAATAATCAACTTTATTTATATAGCGCTATTTCAGTCCAAAACCTCAACAGCACTTTACAGAATTCATAAGGAATAACAATAATGAATGAAGAAAACCATAGCATGATAATAAAAAGAATACCTGACGAACAACTTTAAAGTTTCAACTTGAAGATTCTAAACTACACTAAAAACTAAATCCCTAAAAATTAAGCTGTCGTTATGATTCTTTCGTGTATATTCCTTGAAACAGAAAAAGAGCGCCCGAGCAGAAGAGTACATTCGGATGATCAAAGAACGTCTTCCTGAGGCTGTTCAGCAATGTATCCACGCCGCTGCTGGGGAACATGAGCCTGCAATACAAAGAGGACTGCTGAGGGTGAGTATAGTTTCGGAGGTAGTCGTGGTAACCACATGATCCTTATGTTCAGTTGCTACGTTTCGATTTTCACAGCAACCCGCCCCCAGGGGGTGGGGGAGTTGTTGACAAGTTTAAGGTTTCTTACACAGTGATTGGTGCTCTGTAAACTGCCAAATAAATTTAGCATTGTTTGAAAAAAATACATTATCTGTCTTCCGTGGCAAAATCACCACCTCCTACTGAAAAAGGTTTAGTTAATCTGCTGAAGTTCCTTCAAATTCGCTTGGGCATAAATCATTGAATGTGATGCCATGAAAAGAAAATCTGTACTCAGTATATCTGGGTAATTTGAATTGAAAGCGAAAGAGCGCAAATAGTTCGTCCATTATGTTTCTATTTGAGGAGTGTAGTAAGAGACATAAAGGACTTCATTAATGCTTTCGACGAACGCGTCATTCAGTGATTTTTCAGTTATACAGGATGAATTAAAAGTATAGCAAATCTCAGCGAGTGGTCAACATTCGCCGATAACACTGCTCTGTTACCATCTACCAAGCGAAGTTTGCAACGTCGCTTGGTCAGAGATTTTAGGCGGGAAATAATTCTCGTGTGACATGTCGTGTGTCCTCGTAGTAACCAGAAAGAGCACTCCGGCGGTCGATGTTGGGGAAAATTTTACCTATAGTATAACCGTTTCTTTACTGATCTCCACTGTAATCTTTTCTTCTCTTTGCTAGGCTGCTTCCTTTGGTAAGAGTTTTCTAACTGATATGCCGCCACACGCGTTTGTTTCGATGTGCCGGAATCTTATGGTGTTAAACACCGTGCGGGACTACATGGTTGGAATTCCACTTACATATGGACAATATCCTTTATCTTAATTCAAGAGTGAACCAAATTTCAGTTGTTGCAAAAGCCTCGTCTCACAGGTTACGTTTTGCCCAATTGCAGCGTGTGTTGCAGCAAGTGTACACTATGCTATCCTCCGTAGCAACACGAAATTTTTTTTTTATTTTTCGGGTTAATTTGCAATTGCTTAAATTGGAATTTCCGCTGCGACGATCATATCTTCATTGAAACTTGCATTTCCGCAGTTCACATCATCTTCAAGTAAGTTATCATTGCTCTGATCCCAACACTTTCGACGAACTTGCGCGGAAACTTTTTCTTCTTAGTCTAACACTATGCCAGATAGCTCTTGCGTCGGGACAGAAACCATATCGGAGAGTGTTTCTGTCCACACAAGAGAACGGTGATTTCGGTGCGATTTATGTAACGGGGGAAAACTGCGGGGTTTAAATTACTTTTTTTTTTTTTACAGTGAACGAACGAGATATGTTCCTTTTTCTCTTTTTTGAAACGGATATGTTAAAGTGCTACTACGACGAAAATTTTTGTTTTTGTTTCCGAGTTTTTTTTAACATAAATCTTTTGTATATGTTCAAAATTATACAAATAGCGAAAAATTGGAACGATACTCGCGTACGGGGGCTGGAAATTTTTCACTGAAAAGTGCGTAAATACCGTCCGCCATTACAAAGTTCGCAAAGCAATAGCCCGCGAGATCTCCGCAAAGCGGTCGTGCGTTTAACCACGTGATTTATGCACTGTGACGTAGAAACATCAACTAAAAGATTCGCATTAGGGAAAAGTTTGTGAGTTTAGAGCCTTTTAACAAGACGTTTAAGATGTCATCTCCGTCGGATTCCTCTTCCTACACATCTGAAAGTGATCTAGAAAGTTTTACAGTTGACGAAGTGATTGGAGAATTGTCTGAATTGCGCCGTACGACGACAGCTGCGAACCCCTTGCCACCGAGGAAGAAGCCGCGGACTACAACGAAAGAGTTCATCGCCAAGAAGAAGAGGAACAACGGTTTCAACGAAGATATTCGGGAGAGGTGCCAGCGAATGAATGGTATGGTATTGACATGGAATGTAGATTTATATTTTTATTTTCCAATTTCAACATACCTGTCGTTATATCGTGCGCGTGACGAACGCGACTGTGTGTTTTGTTTAAGTTTACAATTTCGTTGCTATGTGATTAGCTGTAGTCCTGATTTTATGCGATAGTTTTATTGAAGAGGTCAGACAATTAATAATTTTATACAGACGTATTTTTCTTGTGTTTGACGAATTTTTCATATTATTTTGCAGGTGTTCGTGCTCGAACTGCTCTGTCAGCCTTGTTACAAAAGCGCAGGAGTGCATTTGCTGCAAAGAGATCGATCGCTGCGAAGAGGTCATGGAAGAAGCCATTGGAGACCGGACCGTATGCATAACCCTCCATCCAGGGTTTGAACGCGTCTGCTTGAACCGCCACGTATTACAAGTGGCTGCACTGGGCCTAAAAACGCGAGCTGGAAAGTCGTACACAACTGTTCGTGGGCAAAGCAAAAAAAGTGATGATGAGTAAGTTGGGGTGTTGTTGACTATGTATCGGAACGATCGAACCTTACATAGCATTGAATAATTGATACATCTAAGCTTATCGCCGTCGACTGATCTCATAGAATCACATTTTTTATTTTCTAAATGTCTTTATTGCCCCAACTGCTTATTTTTAAAAGGAGTATTTATTTATCTCCATCCAATCCCTCCTTGAGTTAACAGTGATCTCATTTCTTTAACTAGATTCCTGAGGTCTGCGGCCTATCGCCAATTTACAAGACTGCTGTGGAGTTAAATTGGTAGTTCTAGGCGATACCCCTTGCCCTGTTGTGCCTACAATAAAATCAGGAAACAATTTCCGAGTCAAAATGGCCATTATCGTGGATTCGAAGATGAAGAAAATGAATAATAAATGCACTGTTTGTTCTTGAAGAGTGTCATGTATGCCATTGGGGCCAAGAAGGACCTACAATAGTTGCTTGAATACTTGTCCGTAAGCACTTAATTTTATGGGCCAAACTTCAGAATTCTCAGCCACTTACTCGCTTTTTGTTGAATGACAAACTTGCCCACCGTGTGAAGCCCTGTTCTTCTAGCGTTCAGTTAAACTCAAGTTTAGTGCCTGGGAATTCTGATGTTGATCCAATTTTTATGTACACAAGTAATAAAAATTAAATCGAATTCAGTCTGAATTTAATTACAGTTTTAATGTATCATTTCTTTCTTTTCTCTCGGCTCACAGAGCACTGCAAAACTTAATAGCAGGTTACCTGCTGGAAACTTTCCTAGCAGGTCTGGTTGACTCTTCCAGACTTTTGTCTGGCTACAGTTTCTGCAGAAACGTTCTACGGTTAACAAGGTACCTGTCTGTGATACAGAAAGTTTGGGTTTTGAAAAGAAGCACAAGTGGCAGAACTGAAACAAAAGAAGAAGTTTGGAAAGGAAAACAATTCCCTTCGGTTCCTCTCGAATGTTTTTTCCTTGTAGATCCAACCTGTAAAAAATGATTGAAAGGAAATACTCATTTAATCATAGCATCTGAAATAATAAAATAACAATAAAAAAAAATGATTATCATTTTTATTGTTTTTCTCAGGGTGTTGCCAGTTTTTCAACTTGTTGTAAACCTGGCTAATTGTGGGTTGGGATTTTATTCTCACATACATCCTGAAAAATGCTTTTTTATAATAATTCTGTTGATGGCACACATGACAACTTTGAGCCCTTAAGCTATCTAGCCCACCCCAACGATGCATAATTTATTACAAGTGGTTGAGTGAACAAACCAAACATTTTTAGACCTGGGACTTATGCCTCTTCTTCTTTTTTTTTTTTTGCAATTCTTATCTGAGTAAATTAAAAAACAAATTTCATGTACTCTTGTTTCTAAATAGATCCTCTCATAATGGAAGTTAGTTTTAGGCCTAAATCACTTCCCAGAGGATACTTAGAGCTAAGATGTTAAAATGCAATAAATTTTGCATCTTTGTACCTTGGGTTCTGATGAGTCTTCACCGAGTCATCATCTTCCTTTAGTTTTTTATATGCATCTTCGATTTCTTCAGGACTCCATGTAGGGTCTTCATCACACTCAAACTCCTCATACGCGTCGTCCTGCATTTCCTGCTCATCTTCTGATTCATCCTCTAGCCCTAACTCTGTCTCATTTGTTACTGGCCATGGATCAGTTTGAATAGCTTAAACAAATGGAATTAAAAAAATTCTATCACCATTAAAATTTTAATTATTATTAAATAATCAAATATTGATAAAATATAATAAAAATATGAAGATAGGCAGTTATGCCTATATGACTCATCAACATAAATTATTTTTGACTCACCAGCATTCACCATCAGGAACCACTTTGGCTCTTGTATGCTCTTAAAGGTTTCAACCCACTGATCTTGATTGGAGATTAACTTACTCTTCAGTCTTGTGACTTTGCCCCTTAACTGAGTCACCTCACTCCTCAGGGTTTTGCATGTTGCACAATTCCCAGCATGTCCAGTTGGAGTATCCTACAAAAAACAAACTTTCAACATTAATACAAGCTGTAATAACAAGACTTTAGAATTTTTGTGTTTTAGTATTGTTGTAAAATAACTGCACATGTAGTTTTCTATTGTTATGATAATTCAAAGATGCAAATAAACATTAATTAGAGTTATGCGCCTACCATAGAAACCTGTTCAAGTTCAGGAATCGTTAAGGATTCATCAATCTGCATAACTTCATCCATATCCTGCACTTTTTCGATTCCCTGAGCCTCCAGGATCTGCATGGTCTCAGTAACCTCATCAGTGCCTGAAATCCCTTGGCTCTCGAGAGCTGTCTTATCACCAGGAGTACCTAGGACCTCTGAAGCCATCTCAGCATCAACATTTATCTCACCCGTCTCAGTCTCAGGGATGCAGCCCTCCTTTTCAGGATTTACCTCAAGCAAAGAACCCTGACTTGTATTCAGAACACCCTTGACTTCTGGAGACTCCTCAGGGTTGAGATTGGGAGCGCCCATAGTGTTAGCACTCTCCTCAGGTGCAGAACTTCCTTTTAAAGAGATCACCTCTTCTTCAGGATTGTCTTCTTCCTCTGTATCCTCATTAGTAGTTTGACCAGCCAGAATTTCATTTAGTAGCTAAAAATGAAAATAGGTACGACCATTTTTTATATCTCCCCTTCAAAACAAGTTTAAATTTGAGCTTTATGTCGATGTTTTCAAAACTAGAAATGGAAGCAAGGTTTAACCACATCTTTGCCTTAAAATGTATGCATCATTTGCAGACAGTGAAAATAGAATTAAAATACAAACAAAAAAAAACCACAAACAGTAACTGAACTCATAGAATGTAGAAATCAGACTAAGGCCCAGTTCAGACGTCGTGCTTCTGCCGTGCCGAACGTAATTGTAATTCGGTTCGACTGTAGCACGGCAGGAAAACAACTTTGATTCAGACGTCGTGCCAGAGTCGAACCAAATTCAGGATTTACTGATGACTCGTAACAATTCTTCTCCCAACTCCCCGTGGGAACGCAATCTCGCCAAAATACATTAATATAATTTATGAATTTTGTTTAGCGCGGCAGAAGCACGACGTTTGAATCGCTGCCGTGCCGGAGCCGTGTAGCACGGCAGAGCTTGTCGAACTTAATTTCTTGCCGAACTTAATTCAAAAGTTCGATTCAGACGCCGTGCTTCTGCCGTGCTTTTGTCGAACTTAATTCCTGAATTTAGTTCGGCACGGCAGAAGCACGACGTCTGAACTGGGCCTAAGTCCATTTTTGGTCGTTTTAAAAGACTCGCGTGTAACTCTTAATTTGCTGTAATATTTCTTGGAGGGAAGTTTGGAGTACTGTCAAATCTCAAAGTAACAGCAAGTTAATCTCTCAAAAAATAGAGAGCCGGATTTCTATGTAGCTTCACTTTTTCTAAATTTTACGCTTGAGTGGAAAGGTCTGGGAATTGGAGAATTGACTTCACGTCCACTCAGCGCAAATGCCCGTTTTACTATAACTATGAGAAGAAAGCAGAAAAGTATGAAAACACATGCAACAATATGGGAAGTCCAAATAGTCAGAGCATTCATTACACGAATATTGAAATCCGATGCCAGAAAAAATCATGTCACAGGTAAAAGGGGAAATAAATATAATGGTGATAAGCACAGCGCAAATACATTGTAATTTCACTCACCGATCGTCGACTCCGCTTTGATAGTGTTTGAGAGGATTTTTTCCAAATTGTTGGAAACGTCCCCTTCTTCAAATTCCTTTTCATGTCTTTCATCGGAAAAGCAAGCGTAAAACAATCCCTTGTAAAATGCAACGATCACACAGCAAATTTTCCCACTGGGTTGAAATCCTTCCGATGAATGGACACGAACCTTTTCCACTTTAATCTAACGCTGCCCGAATCAGGAGAATTATGAATAGAAATCCCCAATTCATCGTTCTTTACGTTTCCACAGTCCTGAACAACACAACGTCTACCAGGCATACTTTCGCTTTAAGTCAAAAAAGCGAAGAAAGAACCTCCAAAAGCTTCCAAAAATATCTCGTCCTGCATGCGAAATTAGCCATGTTTGTTTGCCTTGTTTTGCCCCGTTGATGTTTCTACGTCACATCTCGCCCCAACTCCTTCAAATACTACTCCCGGTCATTTTTTGAATCGAGTAATGGCGGCAAGACATTTACGAAAATTGCCGTGCAAATAAACACACTTCCAGATCATATTTGGACTCCAAACTTGGCACGGTAAGTCACGTTTACATACATTTTCGAAATATGTAATCAAAAACAAATTCCCAAATTTGATCGTAGTAGCACTTTAAAAGTACGTTAACACAGTTTTCAATTTTGTGGCTCTTATTAAGTTCTTAAACTGGGCTCCATTTTGCTTTTTTGTCCTCTGAGAGTACTCTGGTTATTTTCAAAAATTATCCAATTTTGACGCCTTGACGATCGTCTTAGACTGGAAAAACTAACAATGAAGACCCTTATCGACAGGTGAGTTTTGTTTTTGTCACGCTGTTTGTTGTCTTTTTAAAAAAGGTAAAACGTGCAATGCTTAAGCATTTTTTGAGGGGGAGGGGGGCGGAAAAAAAGTTGTATTGCATATAGCTGGAAATTTTTTCATAACAGTGCGCTCTCTCAATGGTTTCTCCGAGGTCACATGACCGTTACAGCGAGGGAAGCGAGGTTTAATGAATTTCCAGCTATATAGCCTCGGGAAACATTGAGATTCTCGGAAAACAAATTTAACTGTTTCCTTCGAGACCAGTCATTAAGTGTTTAAGTGTTTATTGCACTATGAAACGTTCAATAAGTTCCGAGCTTCAGGTGAGAATCAAACTTACGACAATTCGAGTTCAAGATGAGGACGCTCTCCCCGCTGAGTTGCTGGGAGCTCTATAGTGTGGAGGGTCGAAATTTTTATTGATTATACACCAGACCTGCTATAGTACATAGTACGAAATAGTACTTTTAAGAAAAAAAATAGCAAAATGAATATGATGTATGTCCGATAACCTTTCTCTTTTGCCTGACTAAAATGGTAACGTGGTTGGACTTAAGTCATTTCTAAATATCAAAATTATTTATATTCCTAGTGAATATAAAACAAGTTGAAGCAAAGTTTTTGTTTTTTTGCTTGCCTACTTTCCGTGTCTAAACCGTGTTTACTACATTGATTTTCCACCAACAGACCTGGAGATGGAATTATTTCCCTTAAGTTTATTTTATTACCGTTTATTTTCTGCTCCTGTAGGCTTGTTTTGAGGCGTCACTACTGTCTGGCCATAAGAATCTGTGATTGTTGGAAGATTCCTAAGGGGGAGGGTGCCAGTGGCATCCTTGGACACTTGGCTTGTTATAAAGTGAGTGTAACCAGCGGATACTGGTTGGCTGTTACCTATATGTAAGCAGGGTCTTGCGGGTCTTCCCGCAATCAGCTTATGGCTGGTAGTTAATAAAATTGGTAATGGTGAATTATAGTTGTGGCAGTAGACATGACTGGAGTTGGGTGTCCGGTGGTTGTTTCATGTGCTGAATTTGGCTCATTTCTCTTCGTGTTTGTGTATTTATCAAAGATCACAAAATCAACCTATGAAAAGATCTAGATCAATTAGACTGGATTGTACGCGGTGAAGACAGCGTGGCCAGGCGCCCATCGCGTTGTTTTCGCAATCCGCCCGTCCCGGTTTGGAGTCCCACTATAGCCACTTGCTGAAATTATTCGCGGTACGGTGTTTCCAAGTTCAGATACCCAGTCATGCTTGTAAATAACCAACTGGTTGCCTCCTGCCAGTTGGGGTTTTTAATCCTGTTGTGTTCTATTTCCTCAATAAATAAACAGTTGGACTTTCACATGGCTGGGATGATCACATTGAAATTAACTTCTCCGCCCTAGTAGAATACAACAGTGTCCGTAAATAGTTTTTCTTGTGTTGAATATATTGACATCTCTTTCGATCCTACACTTCTTCAAAACTTGCTTTTCTTGTTTAAACAGGTTCAGCAAGCCAATGTTGATGACGAAGAGATTGCTCGTGCCATCAACTCCAAGCTCGGAGAGACTCCTGGGATATCGTACTCAGAAATAGCTTCAAAGGCAGTGGACTGTGGACGAACTCACCTGGCCATCAAGGTTAGTTGAGAGCGTTCACATGTGAACAGTTTTATTATAGATTACGTTCCAAGCACATTTTGAGGCATAAAGCGGTGTCCTCCGTTAGTATTTCCTTGCTAAATGCACTGAGGCTTAAAATAACGGGGGTTGGTACAGAATGGGATTTTTTTACCTGCGAGATTGCTTTTACTGTAGGTAATCAAGAATTTTTTTTTTCAGTATCCGGAGTATGAGGACCGCGCTTTGTAACAAGTTCGGCGGTCCGCTTTATTATCAGCAACACCACTATGGTGAAATATTAGTCAATTGTTAAAGGACTCATGTCGAGAAACAAAACGTACGGCTGCAAAGAAGACCAATGGGGGAATGGAATATGGAGAGATTTAACAAATGAGTTGATAAATTAAATACAAACAAGTTTCATGCTCTAGCCCTTCGTCAGAGCGAAGAAGGGATAGCACTCGAAATGTTGCTGCTATATGGCTCCGAGGTTTTCTGGTCATTTTTTCCTTATTGGGTTTGTTTTTTTTTTGTGCTTAATTCTCTTCTGGGAATTTCGAGACAATTGAGTCGTGAAAAATTTCAATTTTGACCCTAAAGCCTTGGAGTCATGTTAGAATTTTAATATATCGAACGTGGGCCATTGATCAATATAACTTCTTAACTTTCACCATTGTTCTTTCCAGGGGTTACCAACATGCTCGTCTCATAAGACGTCAACAAAACCTTGAACGGACCGGGTCAGATCAATCCCTGTAACTTACTGGATAACGAAAGATAAGGGATAGTGCCTCTGGGAATGATCTGATCCGGTTCTGCGGTCCAGGTTTTGCCTACAGCCTTTCTCGTGGCTTCGCCGCTTGTGCCTCCACGAGGAGACCTGCCGACAGCCTGGCTTAAAGCCAGCCTTGACCTCTAGCTGGAGCAATCTCACCATAAGTAAGTTCGTCGTTTGACAATCGGTAAACGAGCCTATCATAGCCATGCCATGATAGCCTGTTCAAAGTCCGTCGAGCGCGGGTGATAAAATATAAGCCGCAGGGGATTATATTTGAAATGAACGAAAAGAACAATAAAACAACGTCTGTGTACAGGCTATGCCATGATGCATAATGTATCTTTTAAGATACTCACATCTTCGTGGTCTGGTTTTTTACCTGTAGCTGTTGGACTATGAAGCAAAAGCCGCTGACCAAGTTCCACTGTTCATGCGCATGAATAAAGATGACCTAGCGCTCGAGAAGGCCATTATGAGTGGAGACACGGATCTGGGTGAGTTATAAGTGGTTACCACTGCGGAGAACTACAGCTAACTTTGAGTATAGTGGAGGGAACAATTTTTGAAGCGCGTTTTTGTTTCGTCGTAGTCGCAAGAGCCGACTTATAGAAAGATCTATCGTAATGTTGAAATTGTACCAAAGGTTCCAAAAATTTAGAATAAACTCTTTCTCAGCTTAAAAGTTGGCGTTACACCAGCGGCGTTACAAGCTGAGACAGAGTTTCAAACCTTAAAACATTTTTGAGATTGTTTTGTTGCTCATTATTTGGATCTTCCCTCGCCGTTGACACAATTTCAAGTATATTTCAACCATCTTGATCCTTACATGCTCTCCTCCAAAGGTAACAGCTTTCTCTGGTCAGGTGATCAAAATTGATGGATCCGAACCACCGTCATCCAAAACCCGCCTACTTGATTTTCTCCTGTATCTAGATGACATTTCATTTGTATTGTCTTTTTTTTCTTTCTAGTGTATATGGTTGTTATGCATTTGAAGGATAATCTAACTCTTGGTGAGTTCTTGATGGCCATACGTTACCATCCTGTGGCACTCAGCCTCTACATCAAGGTAAGTCTATGAAAAAAAGTTGTGTAAATGAGTGCGTATTTGTTCAAGGCTTCAACCAAGAGAAAATCCACCATTATTTGCCAGGAGACATTTTTTCCTTTATCTGTTCATTCTTTAAGGTCATAAAAATGACGTTAAATGTTTAAAACTTAAGTGGAGGGGTGAGAGGTTTTACGGTAAAGTTTGGAGCATTTTTAATCTCATTTCTTTGAAATGTCGGAGTCGCGGCAGTGAAAAATGGCTACGTTTCTATTTGTTTTTTTCATGGTCTCGGAGAATCGCACTCAAGAAACAGAGAAGAGAAGAACCTTCAGTTCTGTTTCTCTTCTCTGTACTGTCATAAGCAAAAGTTGTCGACCAATCGGGGCACGTAAATCACTCGTTTATCGTAAATCATTAGACTGTGTGGCAGGCGTCTTAAGAGGTATTAGAAAAAGTGAAAAAGGGAGGGGTAAAGGGAAGAGAAAAAAGGAGACCTTTTTTCATTTCTGCTTCTTTCCCCTTCACTCCCCTCCCCCTCTTCTCTCGTTTTTGCACCTGTTACGCAAACTGCCGCGCAGGTTATTGTGAAACCTATATATTCACTTTGGCATGACTGTGATTTGTCTGCAGTACTGCAAGGATCAGGATCGCCGTACACTTGTGGACCTGTTCTACCAGGATGACCAGTTTATGAACAGTGGTAATGCCTTTGTGCAGGACAGCTACAGTGAGAAGGTATCACATAAAGTAGCTTGCATGCTATCTTGCTTAGGAGGGGATCTGGTCGAATGTTGTTTTATTATTTTATTTCTTTAATCTGTAATTTCAATTCTGAGCAAAGGGGTGCGTACGCTTCACTCCGTTTCTTCATGGCATCATAGATTATTTTTGTTTCCGTGACTTTAGGTGACTACAAAGCTCCCCTCAACCTCATTGCCGGGACGTTTCCCCGTTGGAAAATGGGATAAACCCCTGTGAACGAATGGTCGACAGCAATCTTGTTTATTTTAAGCGTCAGGAGGAGCCAAGAATACGTGGAGCAACTCTTATTTGTAATTTAACTCGCACATTTCTCGTGTTTAAACTCGAAACCTTTACAAAAATTCGTTCTAATCATAACCAGTGATATCTAGTACGCATGCGCTAATTGTTCCCGTCTATTTCTTCGTTGTAAATAGTGGCCCTCAATACATGCAGCGACCACGTGACCAAAGGAGACATAAGACTACAAGTTATGTGTTATTTTTCACAGGGATCGTACAGCGAACAAAGCGCGCGCGCCTGAAAATCGCAGCTCTGTAGGAAAGGCCGTCACGCGAAGGGTTAATTATTAGTTGCGTAATGCCTTCCAGTCTCTCTCCCAATCTGCTCCGCAGAGCTTTTACTAACCTTGTCTGGCGGAGCGGTTACTTTTAGTCCTGAACCAAAAGGATCACATCCTTGGAAAAGAGATTGGCGCTCACCTTATTATTCCTTGAGAAATAGGAGGAAATTCGTTATCTATGAAATGTTGTCGGCCATAGAATAGAATCATCGTTTTGATATCTCTTGTCACTACACTTGACATAAAATCTGATTTTCTTCTATTTTTATTATTTAGACAATAGAATCCAAGATGAACACATTGTCCAAAGCACAGATGTCTTACCAGCAAGGAGGATTTCAGTTCTACTCAAAGGTGTGTGCTCTTCACTTTGTTGCTTTGATTTAAAATACTTCAAACTCCTACAACGCTAGAGCCACTCATTCCTTACTATGTGGAGAAACAGAAGACGGATGTTATGTTTTGTCTAGTAATCTAGGATACGGGATAAACTTACGACATTCGAATCAAAAGCACCCAGAAACTCTCCACTCCTCTCGCTGTGTTTGATTAACAAATACTTTGACTGTGTTCTGAACTGATATGAATCACGCAGAAAGCGCCGGGCTGGGGCACAAAAGGCCGAGTGTAGGGGGACGCACAAGACTTAGTCGAGAGTGTTTATCCCTACTTCTTAAGTGCTTTGTAACATAACAAAGCACAGTAAAGGTTTCTTTATTGGTTTTATGATAAAGAATCCGTTAAATTCTCCACGCATTACTTTCTAATTTTCAAAACAAACTATTGGCAGATGGCGTGAAAGCTGAAGCTCCGTGTTTTATACCCTGATAAACACGCTTTGTCATCCAATCAGAGTGCGCGTTAAAAGAGTGTTTTCACATGACGTCATGGCGGCCATATTGGTGTCCCAAACCAATTCTCTGGGAGTTAAACTCTTTTCTTTATATGCAAACGCTATCTTTTGTTCCAACAAATTTGCATAGATGCTGGGCACGTTAGTGAAAACACTCTATATCTGAACAATATTATAAATATTAACAAAACATTTCTTGTCAGTGGTGCATTGTATGCACGCACGATTCAATTTTCCAGGCAACAGAAGAACAAATGAAACTCATGGAATATCAAGTCAAACTAGAAGAGAAGTACAGAAAGACATTTATGGATCTGTCCTTGAGTGATACTATCTACCAGGTACGATCATTAACACACCCAGCTGTGTTAGCCTTTACTGTGGATTGAGGCCGGTTAACTGACCACCTACCCCTCCCCTAAGTCAACATTAACCCCTACTTCTTATTTAGGGACAAATTGTAACTTAAAGGAGGGGTAGGTAGTCAGTTACTCAAAAATCTCAATTGATCCAAAAATCGTCTGAATCGTAGCTCTCGTTTGAATGATCAAAATTAAGATGTCATTAAATAAATGCTTAATAAACAGTAGCGCTGGAAATCTCTGCCAAGTACAAGCTTTCATTTGAATGGCCATACTAAAAGATTGCATCTACAGAATCAAATCTTAGAACTTGGAATCAACAGTATATGCAGGAAATCTCTGTTCAGTAGCTTTCGTTCGAATTGTCGTTCTTTAAGATTTTATCCAGACTTAAAGTAGTTAAAACCACCTTGCAAAGCACAGTAAACCGCTGTAGAAAGTACTATTAAGTAGCTTTCTTGAATGTCAATTAATTCCCACAGACTATCATACTGTCCTGGGGTTAGTTTCTAAGGATTACTTTATACTTTTTATTGCATACTTCAAGAAGACCTAAAAGTCGCTGAGCAACTGAAAAAGGAATTCAGGGTTCCGGACAAAAGGTTTGTAACATCTTTTTTTTATCAGAGACCGCGTAAACAACGAGACCTTTGACATCCAAGAACCTTTTTTTGAAACAGCCTCTAGGTGCACCACGTTAATCTAAGGCTTGCTTCTTCACACCGCTGATTTGTAGCCTGTGCCTTTGAAGGGGACGAGAAATGTGGGAATTAGGGCGCGTGGGGGAGGAGAAAAGAAAGGGTTTCCGTCCTTTCATATCCTCACGCGTCCATCGCGTTCTCGTTCGCGTTCTCAGCCCGTTATTGAAATAGCCTTTAGTTGCACCATGTAGTGTTAAGTTTTGTTTGTTCACCCCGCTGATTTGTAGCCTGTGTGTCAAGCGTTTGAAAGGGAGTAAAGGACCGCCGAATCGCAAGTTAGGTTTTCCCGAAACCGGAAACGGCTTTGTACCAGAGTCGAACTTTCTACAACGGCTCCCTTTAGAGAAAATTGCCTTTTCTAGAGGCGTTGCCATTGTGGGGAATAATGGGGCATCTCGGAACACTCCGGATACCCCCGGAATATCCCCCGGAACCTGGCAGTAGGTAAAATGAAAAACACGAAAAGAAACCCTAACCCCACTGCGTAAGATATTAAATGTTCAAGAGTGAATGTACGGACTGTCTGCCGGAATAAAATGATGGTCGTCTTGGAAAGATGGTCGTTGGTACAGATTCGTCGGTATTTATCAAAAAGCATTTATTTCTTTTTTTATTTTTAAAGACTACGTTCATGAGTTTCCATAACTCAGTGAAACATTGTAAATAAACATTCCAGTGTGCAGACGCTGTTGATGTTATATACATTGGTCTTTTACAGCCATTTTTTGAAGCTTGCCTGGAATCCAACAACAGATCAGAATAGAGGCGGAGAAATATGTCTCCAGAGTTCTTCCCGGGTGAGTTTGTTGAAGTTTTTACTGTGCTTAAAGTGCTGGCTAAACAAACTTGCCTTGCGTAGTAGCACTTGTGTTGCAACTATGCCGATCATCCTTTCACCCCAGAACCAAGAAGCGCGCACTGAATCCGCTGACCACAAAACCCTGGGCGTATACAAATTCGTAAGTGATTGGGAACAATAACTCGAGTTCTACACTGCTAATTGATGCTACCCTGAGAAAATAGCTGACATTTTGTGAAACCATCACTGGTTTCCTCGCGAGCTTGTCTGAAGAATGTTTGCAGATATTCCATACTGATATGACGTGTAGCTTTCTATCAGTAAAAACAAAATTGACTGGTTTGTTGGCTAGGACTCGCCCTTTTATTCCCGCTTTGATTTTGAATTAAATATTTTATTTCGGGCCCGAAACGTTACCGGGACTTTCGAGAAACTAGCTTATCATGTTCCACCTATTTATAAACGACATTTTAATTTTTGTCCCAGGAAATACGAAGATGCGGCGGAAACAGCTTTTTCTCAGAAAAGCGAGGAGGGTCTGGATCTAGTCCATGGAAAATGTGCAACTTCAAATCGTCCGTTGGTGAACCGCATTCAAGAAATGAAGGCTCAACTGCGGCAAAGACGATAAAATTCATAGATGGATTGAAATCTTAACTCTGACATAAATTCTCAGTCGAAGTTCTCAGTAGAAAAGCCTTATTAGAATGTATTTTGAGCAAGTTTCGCCTCATCAAAGGCACTTTGCGAGTTCATGGAAACGGAGTTCATGTCAATTGGATCTGGGCAGAGGCTAAGTATTGTAACAGTTTCTCCAACACTTGCAATTAATGATTTTCGAGTTACTCAAGTCGCTACTGCTAAATCTCTTTGAGTGACCATCGATAATAATCGCGATTGGGGTAGCCATATGGAGAAGATAATAAAGAAAGTATCTTCTGGCATTGGGGCCATAAAGCGAGTAAGGTACCTTGTCCCCCAAGCGACCTTACAACTAATTTACTAAGCTCTTATTCACCCTCACTTCAATTATTTCAATACTGTTTTGGCCGGAAACTGTGGGATAACCTTAAGGAACAAACTTCAAAAACTACAAATTAGAGCAGCCCGTTTTTTGACATTTTCAGACTACGATGAAGACGCTGGTTACCTGTTTGAACTCCCAGGATGGAAAAATCTAGCACGCCAGCATGAAATTGAAAAAGCCACGATGGTTTCTAAGTCTTTACATCGGTTGGCTCCAGAATATTGAAGTTCTAGGTTTGCAATACGAGAAACGGCATATAACCTTAGAGACTCTGAGAATAAACTTTGCATCCTTTACCACGGACAAATTATTACAACAATAGCTTTAGCTATAGTGGCGCCATCCTATGGAACAAACTCCAGTGTAATGTGAGACAAGCAGAGTCCCTTACGAAATTCAAATGTCTTCTTAAACAAGTACTCAAGGGCACGGCATTCATGGAAAGCAGCTTTTTCTTTAATATTTTTATTATAATGTAGATAGTTTATACTGTTTTCTTATTTGAATTGTAATGAATTGTATTTAACAATTATTCCTCGAGCCCGAATGGGCTCTGAGTCAATAGCCCATTCGGCCTTCGGCCTCATGGGCTATTGACTCAGAGGCCATGAGGGCGAGAGGAGTAATTGTTTTAGTAAAATCCAACTAGTTGGTCAAAAATATCGAGACAAAACAACTTTAGCTAGTTAAAGCAAGACTTTAATCCTTTTTTGCCGCCAAAAAGCCAGCGCTTTTCGCTACTAGTGGGCT